AATGAGTTTTCATATTCGTTAGAGTTTAAATTTTATTTGTTTTTATATTAGATTGTACATTTATTTTACTGTCAACATTTAGCAAATTGTTCGCTCGGTTTGTTTACATCTTTCGTTGCTAAAAAGTATATTTTTTCTTTTTTGTTTCTCAAATTCATCAGTCTAATCATCAGAATTGTCCAACCTGGCAAAACCTTTATAGAAAATTAAAGCTAGATTGTAGACCCAGACAGGGAAAGTGTTGTACACGATTGATAAAAGCTACTTGTCATGTATGTTCACTTCAACTATATATATCGATAAAATAATAGACTTTATAGTCTTAGTTTGTATGTCTAAGTTCTAAGACTTATGTACCTCTTTGCACGATCACTGAGCCTGTGTATTGCTGTCTACAGCTTAATTGGGGCCATTCTGATGATTAGACTGATGAATTCGAGAAACAAAAATGAAAAATTATACTTTTTAGCAACGAAATATGTAAATAGACCAATCGAACAATTTGCTAAATGTTGACAGTAAAATAAATGTACAATCTAATATAAAAACAAATAAAATTTAAACTCCGACGATTATGAAAACTCATTTGGCCTATATATAGAAAAATTCACTTCAAACTTACCATAATACTGGCTTCTTTTGGCTTTTAAAAAACTCATAACAAGTAAACAACCACTGACAACTCTGAGCTTTCGGGATTTTCTCCGCAAACTACGTCACAATCCTGCTGACGTCAACCTTTTTATAAAGGTCTATTAACCGATCGTGACTAAAACGCCACACGAGTACATACGAGTAACATGCGAGTAACACACAAGTACATACGAGTACATACGCGTAACACACGAGTACATACGAGTAGCATACAAGTACATACGAGTAACATACGAGCACATACGAGTAACACACGAGTACATACGAGTAAAACACAAGTACATACGAGTACATACGAGTAGAATACGAGTACATACGAGTAAAATACGAGTAGTAAACTTGTTTTTAGTGTTTGTAGATTGAATACAGGCAAAAAGATCGTCTTCTCTGTCGAAAAACGTGGAATGGGGGAACGGGGAATGGAGGAACGGGGAATGGGGGAACGGGCAATGGGGGAATGGAGGAACGGGGAATGGGAGAACGGGGAATGCGGGAATGGGGGAACGGGGAATTGGGGGGCGGGGAATGGGGGGACGGGGAATGGGGAACGGAGGGAATAGTGGGGCGAGGGGGAGGAATAGGGGGCGGGGAAGGTCTGCCCGATTCTATAAACCACAACTTTGTAGTTTGTACAACATCTACTTTTAGGTATTCTACCTAGATAGTTAGATACATGACACAAACCATAGGCTTCACATATTTCACGGCATGGTTTGCTTTCAAAACCCTATGAGCATGCACATAACCTAACTGCATCTATACTTAAATAGTACTAGGTGATAAACTTACAATCCTCACATAGCCTCAATCACAACATGTGGCTAGGCAAATATACGAACTACACAGTCAGGGACGT